TCTCCCCCCCAGAGTCTCCCTCTGTCGCCCCGGCTGCAATGGCAATGGCACGCTCATGGCTACCCGCAGCCTCGACCTACTGGGCTCAGGACATTCTTATGCCTCAGCCTTCCAGGTAACTGGAACCACAGGTGCGTGCCACCACACTTGGCTAATTTCCTAAAATTTATTTACTGTAGAGATGAGGTCTCACCAAGTTGCCCAGGCTGGCCTCACTTCCTGGACTCAGGCAATACTCTCGCCTCCAGCTGCCAAAGTGCTGGGATTACAGGCGTCAGTCACTGTACCCAGTTAGATCAAACATAAAAAAAAAAATCTTCGCACCTGACCAAATAGGTGCAGATGGGCATACTCTAGTTCAGTCCCTTGGAATTCGAAGTGTAATCTCTCAGCAGCATAGGTATCACCTAGGAGACTATTAGAAACACAGAGTCTCAGATCCCATCCCAGAACTATTAAATCAGTGTCAGCATTTTGATGCTGGCCTAATCAAGTGATTTGTTTTTTACTGGCTTTTGAGCTTGACATTCTATTCGTATAGGATGCTCTTTTACATTTTTTTTAAAAAGCAGTATTTTTTTGCAGTGTCTGTGACCGAGTTACAATCAGCAGCACAATTTATATCCCTGTATTTGTATATATCAGATGATATAGGTAACAGTATAGTCATTAAGAGCATGGGCTTTGGAGTTAAATAAACATGGGTTTGGATCCTGGCTTCGCAACTTACTATTCGGAGGGAACCTGAACAAGGTAGTTTCCTCATATGTAAAAGGAAGCTACCTGCCGACTTAATACACAGTTTTTTGGGGTTTTTTTTGTTTTGTTTTGTTTTTTTGTTTTGAGTTGGAGTCTCACTCTGTCGCCCAGACTGGAGTGCAGTGGCCGCTCCCGGCCACCGCAGCCTCGACCTGCTGGTCTCCGGTGTTCCTTCCACCTCAGCCTTCCAAGTAGTCGGAACTACAGGCATGCGCTACTATGCCTGGCTGATTTTTTGATTTATTATAGAGATGAGGTCTCGCTGCCCAGGCGGGTCTCGAACCCGCGGGCTCAGGCAATCCACTCACCTCAGCCTCCCAAAGACGCGGGATTACAGGCTGAGCCACCGAGCCCGGCTTAATACACAGTTTAAAAATTAAATAAGGCCAGGCGCAGAGGCTCATACCTGTAATCCTAGGATTTTGGAGAGACAAGGTGGGAGAATTGCTTGAGGCCAGAAGTTCGAGACAAGCTTGCACAACACAGCAAGATTCCATCTCTACCAAAAAAAAAATTTTTTTTTAATTATTTGGGTGTGGTGGCAAATGCCTGTATTCCTAGTATTCCTACTTGGGAGGCTGGGGCAGGAAGACTGCTTGGGCCGAGGAGTTCAAGGTTGCAGTGAGCTAAGATTGCCAGCTGCACTTAGGCTTAGGTGACAGAGTGAGACCCTGTCTCTGAAAAATAAAAATTAAGGCCAGGCGCAGTGCCTCATGCCTATAATCCCAGCATTCTGGGAGGTGAGATGAGAGGATTGCCTGAGCCCACGGATTCGAGACCAGCCTGGGCAGCTTGGTGAGACCTTATTTCTACAATAATTCAAAAAATTATCCAGGCATGGTGGTACTTGCCTGTAGTTCCAGTGACTTGAAAGGCTGAGGCGGAAGGATCACCTGAGCCCAGCAGGACGAGGCTGTGGTGCCCATGAACGTGCCATTGCACTCCAGACTGAGCGACAGAGTAAGACTCTGACTCAGAAAAAAACAGAAAAGAAAAAAATTAAATGAAACAATGTGCAGAATGTTTAATATAATGCCTCGCATATAAATGTTAACTTTTATTTTTCGAAAATCGGGGATCAGATGCGAATTCAACTGCACTTCAACTGCCATGTTCTTTCACACCAAATTCAAGGTCTGCCCAGAGCAAGTGTATCCATGGGCTCAATATAACAGAATCTTTGAGGGTTGCCTAATCATTCTGCAACAAAGATGAACAGAACTCGACCAAGATCTGTGACTTCTACCAAACACATATTACTGTTTCCCTTTTAATAATATCAACTACAATATTAGGGTTTTGCCCACAGAAACCAAAATGTCGAGCTCCACACGCTCGAGGCCAACCCTATCACGTGACACATCCAATTCCCATCTTTCCTCACCATTGCATCAGCCAATTTAGAACTGCCTTACAAATGAGCTGATTTGTTCTCAGTTTGATTGGCATGTTTACTGACCAATAATATATCGTGATGCTAAGCGTGAGCGGGGCACTTCCATCGGCGCGCGCTGATTGGGCGAGACCAGGCAGGTTGCGGCCGTTTGTGGCCTGGGGCTGGTGCAGCTACGCGTCTGCCGGAGCAGGTAACCTCTGGCTCCTCGGGGGGCGTTCTGAGGGAAGGGTTAGGGACGTCGACCCTAAGAGAGGCCGGCGACCCGGGGGTGCTCTGCGGCGCTATCAGAGCGGCTGGGCTCGGGCTCTGGGGCCAAAGTTCGGCACCGCAGTGGGACACTGGGCCAATTCCCGCGTGGTCTCCAGTACCCGGGTCTTGGAGTAGGAGCTGGACAGTGGCCTTTTGTCAGCCGTGTGGCCACTGGGAGGGGAACGGCCTCGGGTGGACCTGCTGAAGACCGAGACCTTGAGAGAGTCACGGTTGCCATCGTGTCCCCCCCTTAAAGTTCCTTGATTATTATTTTTATTTTTATCTCCTTTGGTTTTAATCTGCGAGAGGTGGGGAGGGGCAGGAGAGAAGGGTAGTTCACATGGGTGGCGTTCCGCTGTGAGCCGTTTCCCTAATTTTTAAAAATTAACTAAATACCTGATAGCAGTCCAGGGCCACCTTGACCATCATGTTCAGCTATGACTCTTTCAGTCTGCTTTGCCGGGTGTGCTTTGATGTATATGAGTTAATTCAGAGCGCGCTGTAAAAGATTAATATACCAAATCATGAAATATGTATTTATCAACCCCTGTGCTAGATGCTGAGGATATACCTGTAATGGTGAGCTCCGTACAGTCAAGATTCCATCTGGGATGCAGGTTACAGCCTGATGGGGAGATGGACTTTAAACGAGCCATCAAATGCATGTGGAGATTATGAAAGGAGACACTTTATGGGACAGTACAAATGGGAAGCCTGATCAGTAAGGGAAAGTCTTCTTTGGAATTGAGATAACAAAAATGACAAATTGACTAGGAAAAGGGAAAGGAGAAGGGTAGGGCAGACAGTTCACCTGGTACCTGAAGAGCATGTTAAAGGTCCTGTTTCAGAAGCCACAATGGGATTTAAGGTACCCAAGACCTTTCCAGCTCGTGCTAGGAGGTGGAATCTGAGGTCCTGCCTTTGGGCTATCTCTGCAATATTCCATACAGCCTGCCAGTATATTTTAATTGAGTAAATGAATGAGTGGTGGTGGGGACACAGCTTTTAATAGTCTCAGCCTCACAAAGGTTCATAGTTGATAAATGAGTATTTCATCCAGTACTGTATTTATTTCTGTATATGCTGGTCTCACCATGAAGGACATAGTCTCATTCATCTTGATTCCCTGCACACAGTATGCATTAAATATATTGAATGAGTAAGCAAAAATGAGAAATTCATGTCTTTTGGAATGTAACTGCTTATTTACCCTAGGTAGCCCATTAATAGAAGAGGAGCAATGAACCCTTTGAAACAGCAATGATGTTGCTGCAAATCAGAATTACTGCTATAATTCATTTTACCACCATTGTTAAGATGTATTGAGAGCCATTAGGAGGAGGGATGAGGAAGAATGTGGTGTGATGGTTTCTAAAAGCCTGAGCCTTGTTCTTAGCATGGATGGCAAATACTCTACTGTGGGGATTTTAGTCATCTCTTTGGCTCTTCACCATATTTTTGCCCAAAGGGCTTTTGTTTAAGCGATGAATTGATTGAGTTGTGAATAAACAATTGAAATTGTGATTAAACATAAAGTCAGGATCTCTTGTTCACCATGTACATCTTTTTTTCTTTCTTTCTTTTTT